GTCCCAAGCGAGCCGGCGGGCCAGGTCGCGGCCGCGCTGGGAGCTGCGAACCCCAAAAGGCAACAGCCAGGAGCAGAGATGCCATTTTGTTTTTCTCCGCGTCTCCTATTTTGTGATGATTCGGACCGTATTTTGTACTAAGAGAATTGCCTATTTTTGAATGAAATAAATGTGGGTCATTGGCTTGCGGGCTTTTCTTCCTCTTTGAAGGCGTTTGGCGGGTCAGTTTTGGCATCGCCACGGCAGGATCTCTCCCTTGGAGGCATCTGGGGACGTGGTGAGAATATTTCCCCCCGCCTGGTCCCCCAGCGAGCGGCACGGCACAGCCCTGGTTGCACTGGGGATGGAGATCGCTTTTATTTAGTCACTCGAGTGCTTTAGTACAGAAGAACAGGTATACAGAGATGATACATGTTTGTGCTTCAACACTTTCAAACATTTAGATTCCAGTAATTTCAAGGTAAACAAGTTCCAAGACAGACTAGATTATTTTTTTTTTAAGTTTTCCTTTTTGATAAATTATTTTTTATATAAATAACTGTAACAGAAAAAAAAAATAATAATGTCCAACATACAAGATCCTGAAGCATTTGCATTGCTAAACCGAGAAGGAACTCAAACAGGGTGGGAGGACCAAGGAGGAACCGACAAATATCAGTGCAGTGATACAGCCTTTGCCCTAAAAATATATATTTAACTTTATGGGCAAGGAACAGACGGGGAGGGAAGGGGACGGGGCTAACCACCAACGAGGCAAGAGAGAGAGATTCCTGGGGAAGGAAAAGGGGGGGTCACAGCCTTCAGAGGGAGAGAACAAAACGACAGACCCCAAAATCTTGCAGCGCATCTAATGGCAGGGGAGGGCGGGCGCAATCCGGGGGTGTAAAGATTAAAAAAAACAAACCCAACAAACAACTAAAACCAGAGGTTGGGTTAAATCACTATACACCAAGCTTGGAAGAACGTCACGAGACACAGTCATTAATATACACAGAGTCCGGAGGGGGGGTCTCGGGGCGACGGCACGCTCAGAAACGCTTCACCACGGGACGACACGAGCGGAGCCGGGCGCAGGGCCGCTGAGCCTCCGTGGGGATGCAGGGAGAGAGAGATATATATATAAAATTTTTGTTATATATATATATGCATTTTAAGGAACACCCGGAGCAGGGCGGAGGGGCTGGGCTGCAGCAGCTGTGCGAGCAGACGGGCCCCGCCTCCAGGTTTTGACCATTTTGGTCCCTTTTCACATGGGAAATGCTGCAGCGTGAAGCACCCCGGGTGCCTCCTCCCCCGTCCCCAAACCCCGTGCCAGATGTTGGCGTGCACATCTGGCAGGAGCACCCACCGCCCCGAAAGACGAGGGACAGGAGACA